CGTTCTATTAAAAAGTTAACACCAAAAGACCACTATATTTCTGTTATCTTATACTTTAGTACAAGCGTGTATTAGAAATTCAATAAAGACAGATCGTTCTCGGGTTAAAGAGAACGCGGTGCAATCGATAAGTAGAATGAGGACGTCTGACCCAATATGCTACCCAAAGATTCAATTTCAAATAAGTTGCTATACATAGGATAGTATATTCGAGGCTATAGAATTTAATTTTAGGCAGATTAACGCTAGAACTACCGACAATTATGACGCATTTATTTGTTCTAAAAAAACTAAAACGATAGATATTTGAAGGAATGTATAATGCAATGGAAATACAATAAAATGGAAATAAATTTGCAAAAATCCAGGCGAGTAATTTTTTTACGATGTTTATTAAAAATTACGAATAGGTAATTTTGATTATTTTGATAGTCCTGGCATTAAATTCTCTTTGTCATCAATTTCGATGAAAATCTAAAGAAATTAAGACGATAGATATTTGAAGGAATGTATAATGCAATGGAAATACAATAAAATGGAAATAAATTTGCAAAAATCCAGTGGAGCGATTTTTTTACAATGTTTGTTAAAAATTACGAATGGGTAATTTTGATTATTTCGATAGTCCTAGCGTTAAATTCTCTTTGTCATCAATTTCGATGCAAATCCACAGAAATTAGGACGATAGATATTTGAAGAAATGTACAATGCAATGGAAATAAATTTGCAAAAATCCAGACGAGTAATTTTTTTACAATGTTTATTAAAAATTACGAATAGGTAATTTTGATTATTTCGATAGTCCTAGCGTTAAATTCTCTTTGTCATCAATTTCGATGAAAATTCAAAGAAATTAAGACGATAGATATTTGAAGAAATGTATAATGCAGTGGAAATAAATTTGCAAAAATCCAGACTAGTGATTTTATTACGATGTTTATTAAAAATTACGAATGAGTAATTTTGATTATTTCGATAGTTAAATTCTCTTTGTCATCAATTTCGACGAAAATCTTGGGCTTGATTTGGCGATAAAAACAAATCCGAAAATCCGGTTGAGTCGCGTCCCACGTTCGACGGCGGTGAAACTAATCACAGAACAAGCGATTCTAGCAAGAGTCTGAACTTTGCGGGTCAGAAGCAGACGCAACGCATTTCTCGCCTATTAAGGCCGCCACCCACGCGCAGTCCAGCCAAGATTTCCGCCTCGCGGAAATTCACGTCGCGATGCTCGGCTGGAGGCCGCGCCCCGCCGGTCGTTCCTAGGTGAAATAGTGTTCCTGAGAAAAACTCGACGACCCCGGGGGATTTCCTTTTTCACCCCTCCCCCCTGCACTCCCCCCCTTGTCCTCTTTGTCTTTTACGTCGCTACTCTTCTGCAGTGCTTGCTTCCGCCGCTTCCTGTGTCACACGCCGTTGAGCACGCTCCACCCCCTCGTCCCGGAGGAAGGGGGAGGGGGGACAGCGTCACTCTTCGCACGTCCGGCAAGATAGAAAGTGGCCTAATTGTTGATACAACAGAGGGTGGCGAGTCGGAGGGTTGCTTCGAGTGGCCACCCAACCGTTTTGCGAAACCAATGCGGTTTAGAATCGCTTGCACGATTTTCCTTAACAGTGAACCTACCATGGTCGAATGTTTTTTAAATTTTGTTTAGAATTTCTAACACACAATGTTGCTTTAGCACCGTTTGAGGGAGTCTTCTACTGTAAAGCGTGTTTTTTCATGTTCTCTTTGATATATTTTTTATAAAGGAGCTATGCAAGTCCTTGCATCGACGTTTCGTGTATATGTTTATTACTCTTTTGGTAACATTTACAAATTTTTACAACGAGAAATAGTCAAAATTAGTGGCAGTACAGAGCCTCGTACGCAATCGCGTACCGAAAAAGTGTTCTAATGGCTTCCATGATTCTGTATGGTCTCCATGGTTCTGTTTGTCTAAGTCAAAAATATGAAGAAGATTCTTAACCAGAATACATTTTACTATAGTCGATACTAAAAAGATAGACAAAAATTGATAATTAAAACAGTGGCAGCATTTTAAAGTTGAAATATCAATTTTTTCTTGTTTTTAATTTTAGCAGGCTAAAAAAAATATAGAAAGAATAATGATTTTGACTTTATTCTGGTCCGGGCTATAGCGACACATGTACTGAAGGTACACGCCAAATTTTAACGAGATCGGTCAAGTAGATCTTGAGATATCATGGAATCCAATTCAAGAAACATAGTTTTGAGAAAAACGCATTTAAACAGAAGGATCAAAGCGATACATATATACCTTTGTTAATTTTAAGAGTTCGATAATATACTTTTGTGACCGAGTGACCTAGAATCGGCATAGTATTTTCAAGAATTTACTACGCACTGTTTACTATCTTCACGCGCGCGAGTTCATTCACCTCAATGAAACGTAAACAAACGTTTCGGACCCTTATAGCCACCGCATCGACGCGAAACTAAAATTGCTATATCTCCGGAACTAATTGAGCTATCGACTTGTACGAACGCTCATTTTAAAGGGTATTCTATCCTCTATCCAATGACTATATCAACTATTATTATGTATGCTGCCTTCTACGTTTATTTTTAAATTTACTTTGACGCTACACACCCAAAAAAGTTTCAGCAATTGATTATACGACTGTGCGATAAAACTATATTATAAATTGTTTATTTAATTAAAAATGAATTTAAATTTCTATACGGGATGTTTGCATAATTACTATGCCATTTTTTCTTAAATAATTGTTTTCTCTGGAATTAACTACGGTATCCACTTGAAACAAAAATCGTTTTCAAGGGCGTTTTATCTTCTATCCGATGAAAATCGAAACATTTCGTCGTAGCTTGTAAATTTTCTGCACAAAGTTAACCAAAATGTTGCTAATCACTTTTGGCATATGAATTTTTTAATTCCATCATCTCGGTACACATTACACAACTTTTTGCACGCTTGGGTTGCGTTCACTACTTTTTTAAAGTAATGAAGCACGATCTGAAGAAAATGTTCTTTCGAATCGTCCAGTTTTGAAACAATGTGTACGATACAAATAAAAATAAATCTTGAAAATGCTAATGCAATAATTACAAATTAAGTGTCTGCTATCAATTGATTTCGCACATTCAAGAATTAAACTGAAGTTAGTTCGTATCTAGACTGCAAAATGACAAACGTTTCCAAAAGCATCGCGAACTTGCTACCTAAGCTAATATTTATCTTTTAAATCTCATCTAGGACATTTCAAAGTATGGATATCTGGCTAATACGTGAACTTTTACTTCGTGAAATCGTTCAGCAACCACGCGACAAATTCTCGAAAGGCGGAACAGTTTCGGATCGCAGGAAACGTAGTTCCTGTATCGAAGAAGAAAGAACGCGACAGAGGAAGATGGTGGAATTAGGTTCCACGGTGGACGCCCGACAATGGATTTCGAGAGGCTGGTACAACGACAATGGCAATCCGATATTACGTTACCGACCCCGGTTTACATTCTCTCTACCCTGCGAAGCGACGATCGGTGGCTTCGACGGTGGCCAAAGAACGACCTTTTGCCTCCGGTATTTATCGGAGAGAAAGCTTTTATTATGTGGATCTCGTATCCGCCGTTTAATACCGAGCCCCTTTGTCGGTGTCTCCCTTTTCAAAAACATTGTATCGAGTGGCACCGATCGCGGAAAAAAGGGATCCCTCGATATACGTGTCTCTTGCATCCCTGCTTCCTCGAAATCCATTGCTTTCTCGTCCTCTTGGTCCTCGAAGCTCTTTCTCTCCAAATTTCACTTATCATATACAGGGGAAAGCTCTTATACTAGAAACTTCGAAATGAACTTTTTTAAATATTATAATCCCGTGAACTGTATTTTCTTTGCAAACATATAGGAGCCTAAATTTTTTGGCGAAAAAAAAAATTTCATATCGTTCTCGAAAAATTATTTCCGGTTGCAGGGGTCAATTACAATCATTTTTGGTGAATAGTCATACCCCCGAAATCCTACGCACTTTCGAGAAAAAAATTCGAGTAGGTGGACAAATTCGACGAAATTAAAAAATTTCAAATCATTCTGGAAAAATTATTTTTGGTCGCAGGGGTTAATTACAATCATTTTTGGTGAATACACATACCCCCGAAATCCTACGCACTTTCGAGAAAAAAATTCGAGTAGGTCGACAAATTCGACGAAATTAAAAAATTTCAAATCATTCTGGAAAAATTATTTCCGGTTGCAGGGATCAATTACAATCATTTTCGGTGAATAGTCATACCCCCGAAATCCTAACCACTTTCGAGAAAAAAATTCGAGTAGGGGGACAAATTCGACGAAATTAAAAAATTTCAAATCATTCTGGAAAAATTATTTCCGGTTGCAGGGATCAATTACAATCATTTTTTATCAATAGTCATACCCCCGAATTCCTACGCACTTTCGAGAAAAAAATTCGAGTAGGTGGACAAATTCAACGAAATTAAAAAATTTCAAATCATTCTGGAAAAATTATTATTGCTTATGGGGGTCAATTACAATCATTTTTGGTGAATACACATTCTCCCGAATTCCTACGCACTTTCGAGAAAAAAATTCCCGATTTGCCGTACTACGGGCGGAACTTTAAACATTAATAACTTTTTAACGAAGCGCCAATCAACAAATTGGTATTCCTAATTTTCGTCTTATTTTGGGTGGTCGAACACCCTGTATACAGGGAAAAGCTCTTACACTTCAAACTTTAAAATAAACTCTTTAAACGCCCAAAAGTTTCGCTGCAACCACTATACAGATATTTTTAAATAAATAGAAATAATAAAGGGGCTTTAAAAAAAGATTTGCAGCGGAAGTTGACAGCGTCATGACGCTAATTAGGGAGTAACGAAAGTAACCAGAGCGTTCTGAAGATTGTTCCAACCGGATCGGTTGCTCGAACCCATTCGAACTCGTAGGAATCGATCGCGCGAACGAAATATGGATGCTGGGGCGAGTTTATGATCGATTACTTACATTGTGGAGCTTGTAGTAGAGGCCGCACGCGTTGCAGACTGGCTCCCCGGCCTGATTCCGCCGCCATAGCGTGGTGGTCGCGGTCTTGCAGTTGGCACAGCTGGTGCCCGCCCGCCTCGCCGCACTCTGCAGCGACAGTTTTGGAAAAGAAAACAAACAGATATCACACCTGTAACGGCAACATCCACTCTACTGAATCGCGTCCCGCGATATTATATGAGAAACGGATACAGTAGAAATCTTCGTTGCTCGTATTAACGGGGATTCCTCGAACAGTACGAGTTTCAAAAATTAGAATAAAACGTTAGGCAAAGGTTTGAACGAAGAACGAAAAAGTTGAAACCAGAGTTTAATAGGGGAATAGTAAAAAGTTTTTAGAGATTTTGTCCTTCGACAGCGTAAGAAGGATCGAAGACAATCTTGCTGCAACTGTGTTACAGCTTCTCGGGGGAGTCCTCTTTTAGGATTTATTTTTTCCCCTCGTCGCGTCAGTGGATTTCAAGGTCGAGTAATCGATCGAGGAATTCCATTCTTACGGTCGAGCAGCTTCCAGAATCGAGAAGCCATGAACTGAGACGGGATCGCGTGAAATCGGCTGCCCTAATCCCCCCCTTTCCTTGCCGGCTGGATTCGGGTGGAAACGTGAGCCCGTGTTCTTACCTGTACGCACATAACATCCCCCCCACCACTCTTCTCACCCCTCACGAATCGAAAACGGTCGTGGGTACACCTGTTTGCCGCGTTTTCGGTTAGCAAACACTTAACGAAGAAAAGGAGTCCGTCGTGCACCCCGTCGAGTTACCTCCGGCTTACTTCTCATCCCTCCCCTTTTGCTTTTCAGGCCGCCATTACGGTTGGCTACATAAATTGGACGATTTTTATAAATATACTTTTTATTTTCCTTGCATCGACTTCCCCGTATCCGTGTTTTGTTCATATTTTTCTATATAGATCAACAACCCCTGAAAACAGAACGCCCACTTTAGCAATAATGTATCACAGATATGTTTTCCTTATTTCTATTGATGACCTATTTAACCCACCGTCAGTAAAAATTGATTTCTAAAGGTATTTTATATTTTGGCTAAATAAATGAGACAATTTAAAAAAAATATACTTTTAACTTGTCTACCCTTGTATCGACTTCTTATTTTTGTACATAGATCAACAACCCCTAAGCTACGACCCTCTATTTTAACCATAATGTTTCACAAATTTATATTGAAATGCCTTATTCCTATTCATGAACTTTTTAACCCCCCACAATTGATATCCAAAAGTATTTAATATTTCCATAGACGCGATTCGATTGAACTGAAATGTTTTAGGATCGATAACACTGTTTCACAGTTTGCAACGTGTATTATCGTTACGTTTCTATCGATGGATCGCCTGAACCCCGTCGAAAGTGTCACCGTGCCGCCGGAAAGGGATGAAAGTGGGGGTAGAAAAGCGTACCTGGGTGCATTGTCGGTGAAAGTACAAGGGATCGTCCTCTCAGAAGCTAATGGAAAAGCGATTGAAACCTGTTTGAGCGAAAACGAAATATCGCCGGCTCCCGAAATTGCACCCCCTTTGTGCCATCCCGCCGTGCGTCGCGTCACAATGCGCTTCGTGCGCGTGTCCACGAATATAAAGTGTCCTCGCAACTGTTTTTTTGTGTCTCTGACGCGGAGTGTCTTCCTGTTTCTCGTTCGAGAGTACTCGAGTCCCTTTGTCCGGCGGCACAATGACGATTTTCATGCAGTTACGAACTCTCGATTCGCTGCTTCCCGTTTTCGACTGGGTTTTTAAACTCCCGCGAGCACGGGAAAAACGAACCTGGACGATACAACAAAGTCTACCGTGGAATCGTGGAATTCCCAATTACCTATCGTTTAAGTTTCAGAGACGTTCTGAGAAAACAACCCCCAAATGGGGAATTGCCAGTCAGAAAAACCTGAAGTTGCAAGGAATTGCTAGTCCATCAGATGATTCTTCGTTTGGCCCTCGATCAGCGCGATATTTAATTCCTGTTTCTGGACGATTCGAGAGGAAACGACGCGGAAAGCTTCGGGGAAACGAGGCGACCGAGAGGACTGTTTACATACTGTTGGCCAAGAGAGAGACGGGTCAGAGGGCAGCCTCGTGGGACAACGAACGAGAAGAACGAGACGGAGAGGAGGGCTGGCATGACGCGGTGTGTAATCATGCCTTATCTGCTGGATCTTATCAACCCTTGCGCGTAGCAAAAGGGGTCTGCAGGGTGCTTCGGGCCCCGACGAAACCCCTCCGCGTGGAATCAATACGTGGAGAGCCACCTCATCAATATAGAGGCTCCTATCTGCTCTAGATCTTTGACACCCTCGCCGAACAGCCTTTCACCTTCGCGGCCAGAACCGTAGAGGGGGAGGGTGGGAGGCGCTCAAGAGGGGTGGAGTAGCCTGAAAATCGTCGGCGGCAGCAGCTTCTCGGGCTAATGGTTATTAAATGAGGGAGAAACGAATTTCTGCCGGCGGTTCCCTCGGACGATCGTTAGCAAATGGAATATAACGCGATCACGGTGGACGTGACCGTTCGCGAATCGAGGATTTCAAAAATCGTTCGAGAACCGCCCATGCGTTAGATTCGACGTAGCGTTTCGAAAATAACGATTCCGTAATTTTAATTAACATACGTACCGTTTCGGAATGTATAATGTATCAGCGAGAAAGGTGCGCGATTAATAAAAGTAAACGAGAATTAATCGGCGTCTAGAAATTTCAAGGTTCCGCGCGGCAAGCTCGAAAACGGTCCGAGGAAAGCAAGAAGAGAGAACCCCGATCGAGCTCTATCTCGTTTCGATAATCCAGTTTTCAATTTCAAGAATGACACGGCCACGCGAAAGGATAGCCGCGCATCCACCTGAACGAAAAAGGGGTGACAAGAAGACCGACAGGAAATAAAAGCACGATTCCCAACGGGTGGATGGAACCCTCCCCCGTCCCTGTACGAACGGAGCGACCGGGTTTATGCGTGGACAGAGCGGGGAGCAAAAATAAAATCCACGCGAAACAGTCGAAGCAGCAGGGCGGGAAGGGCCCGACGAAGAAAGAGAGAGAAACTGACGTGGGCCGGAGACGAGCAAAACGAGATAATAAGGAAACAAGACCAGCTCGAAAAATCGAATTGAAATAAAAGAAGGACATCAGGACGATGGCGGTGGAGGGGGGAGGGAAGCCAAGAAGTCAGTGGGGATAAAACGAAGGAGAAGAGAAACGTAGATCGCCGCGAACTTCAGAAATGTCATATCCGTCAGTGTCCAGGCGCATGTGCCTTCCGAAGGCAACCGGTTCGCTGCAACGTCACGGATAAAGTATTGCCACCCCCTCCACTCCCTCCTCCCGTGAACAGTAATTACGCAGGAAACGAGGACTGTGGATTTAATGTGTATCGATAAGCGTTATCTCGACGATCGCCGGACAACGGACACGTGTTAATTTGGTCCACTTGTCCGAAGGCGAAGGGGAAGAATTTGTCTTTGATCGAAGGAATCCTGGAATCGCGTGAGATCTTTATACGGTCGCCACCGTCACGGTGATCGTACTTGCTTTGGGGACCCTCAAAATCATTGAATTCTCGAGAAATTTCTAGCAACTCCATTCCTAACAATTCCAAAGTATTCTCATAATCATTGGCAGAGGAAGAGTCGACACCATTACAGTAATCATAGCTGCTTTGTGAACCCTCAAGATCTTTGAGTTCTTGAGAAATTCTTGGGCAATTCCATTCCTAACAATTTCAAATACTCTTTCTCACCTAGTGGGAATATTAGAATATTATAGCAGTGTAAGAGTCAACACCGTCGCAATGATCATAGTTGCTTCAGGGACTTGAAATTCACGAGAAATTCCTAGCAATTCCATTCCTAACAATTCCAAATGCTCTCTCTCACCCAGTGGGAATATTAGAATATCTTGTACGATGCACGGTCCAACGATTGCAGCGTATTAAAGAAGAAATTATTCGCACAGTCATTGGCAGAGGAAGCAACGCGATTAATTGGATCGCGAGACCTATACTTTCATAAATTAGACAGTGGAAAATTGGATTTCTCCTAAAGTGTCTAACTGGCACGTGAAAGTTAATGAGGCTTAATAAGGATGAACGCCTAATCTGTCCATTAACAACCATCGAAAGAGAAATATAATACGTTTTGAAAGAAATATAATTTACATATCGAGTTACGAGGAAAACTTAGTTTATTTGCAAGTTCCAAAAGTCCGAATGGAGCGATTCCAGAGTTTTCAGACTCCCTACGAATCCAACTACCCGGGACACATAAACATTTCCGCTCCAGCAACGTTCTAAGCCCCGCAATTCCAGGGATTTTGGCCCGCAGGTTGCGCGTTTAATCGCGAACCGATTTCGCTCGGCCAAGGCCGTCTATCAAGGGGGAGTGTCCTGCACAGGGACAGGACTTACTGCGAATATTTCGAGGATCTAATCGCCCAACAATGCGTGCACGGTTGTCCAGGATGAGCCAGTCAGTCGCTCTGCACGGAACGATCCATGGATCCTTGTCCAACGGCTCGACCGACTCGTTAGTAATACGGACGAGGCTCCGCAAAGGTCATCGTCTCGTAAAACGAACCTACGAATTTTTTCTAAAGATCCTTTTGATCGAAACGCCGTCTCGAATGTTTTTAAACCCATTTAAAACGTGGGGTCGCGTTAATTTGTTTCAATCCATAGTAAATTAGAATTCTTCGATCGTAAATAAGGTACGACACATAGGTTTCCAAAGGTTAGTAAAAACGAGTTTTGTGCAAGTTCATAAGCATGTGTGTCAAGAAGTTTCCAGTTGGAAAAACTATATCGGATTCATATTCTTTCACAAGATAATGAGACAGAAGAACTAATAACCTTCGGTTAATGGTAATCCTAGTTCAAAGATCGATTCCTCTTTCACTCGTTATAAGTTACATTGCATCACAGTTATTCTTATAGACATAATAACGCATTTATACAAATGCTATCTATCGTTGTTATTGTTTCGAAGATGAGCAAGTTACTATTGTTAATAAATTCGACTGACTAAGTGCTCCCATCCCGCGCGAGGGACGTAACCATTTATAACGATAAATAAATAAATGCAACGCAAAAAA